CACAGTGACCCCGGACCCTCCACCCGGTCTCTGACAGACACTCACAGTGACCCCGGACCCTCCATCCGGCCTCTGACAGACACCCACAGTGACCCCGGACCCTCCATCCGGCCTCTGACAGACACCCACAGTGACCCCGGACCCTCCACCCGGCCTCTGACAGACACTCACAGTGACCCCGGACCCTCCACCCGGCCTCTGACAGACACCCACAGTGACCCCAGACCCTCCACCAGGTCTCTGACAGACACTCACAGTGACCCCGGACCCTCCACCCGGTCTCTGACAGACACTCACTGTGATCCCAGACCCTCCACCCGGTCTCTGACAGACACTCACAATGACCCCGGACCCTCCATTCAGTCTCTGACACGCACAATGACCCCGGACCCTCCACCCGGTCTCTGAAACTCACAATAATCCCTGTGCTAAGACAGAGTGCAGGGAAGTTACTCACTCTGAAAAAAGAGGCTCTCACCCAAGGGAATGGGAGCTTGTGGGGTTTGAAAACACATTCAAAATCCCCACTGCTCTTTTAGTTCTAGTCTGAAATTGTATTTTCCATTTATACTAAAGGAAGGTGGAACTTTGTTTTTAAAGGGGACAAGAGTTTAAATAGTTGACAACTTTGGCCCAGGGGCAGTGTTCTGAACTTTAGGACTCTTGAGGGCCCTTCTAAGAACCGACAAAAGCTGTGGAAATTTCTCCCCTGGGGAAAATGTTCAACTATGAAAAAGCACCCACCAACTCAGGAGTTCCTGAAGCCCCCTCCCCCGGGCTCTGGTAAAAGTGCTGTTCCCTGCACACAGTCAGAAAGTGCGAGCCATTACCTTGAAGTGTCTGTTCTCCTCCCGCAGCCGCTGGACTTCTCCTTGCAGCCGTTTACACTCTTCCATCACCTTCTTGACCTCAGTGTCATCCAAGGAAGAGCTCAGAGATTTAGACACTGCTGGGGTCTCTGTCTTTGATGCAGTTGTGGGTATAATTTTATTTATTTCTACATCATGCTGTTCAGAGATAAACGAAAGCCCAAGTGTCACCAACTGCGTAATTAAGGACGTTTCTATGCAAAGTCAAGTAGTTCTCAGCAACCATCACACGTGCTGGCGTTTCATCCACACTGTAAAACGTCACATCGATTTTAAAATGGATCACCTTATCTAGTATCTTAATCATCTGGGGCAAGTGGGCCCCTGAAATTATGGATGAGGAAAAATAAGGAAGTTCGCTGACACTAACACTTCAAAGAAAGAGAAAAAGAACCATGCACACTGCACTGCCGAATGCCTGCCATGCAAAACTCAGTACGATGCAATCCGCACAAGCCACAAGCGACGGGCCCCCCAAAGTGCTGCATATCGCCTGGCCTGGCCGGGCAGGCAGGGGACCAGGGAGGACCGTTCCACAGGGGCAAGTGCTTTCACACAGAGCCTGGAGGCCGGGAGGAAGGTGGTCTTGCAAACAGCACACCTCTCCTGGCACCAGGCCCTGACTGCTCCATTGCCCCCTGGAGCCTGACTGGGGGTGAGAGGAAGGGAGTGGGGCAGGGCACGGACCTCTCTGGTGTGCTGGAGGACAAAGCACAGAAGTCATTAGCTGGAGGTTCTGTGCTGCAAACAGAAAAGCCCAGCTCTGGCTCAGCCCTTGACTCCAGCTCAGAGGACTGAGTGCCAGAGGCCACAAAGTGAAACCATCCCAGAGCTAGACCAGAATGCAGGTCTCTCAGCTGCCCAGATGCCATCCCAGGGCACAGTGTGCAATGGCAGGAAGGAAAAATGACCCACTCAGAGAACCAGGACAATGGGACTGGTCAATCAGGGAGCAGGAGGGAACCCCCAAGTCGTTTGGACACAATCAACAGACTTCCTGGAGGTCACCAGCCCCGCTGCCAGGAGGTTCAGAGTGTGGCTCCTCTCCATCACCAGCTGGCGAGACCCAGGGCCCTTCAACCCTCCACGTGTGCATTTCCAGCTCTTTGTGCTTTGAAACGGCTTCAGGGACTTTCATCAGACTGAGGAGCATTTCAGGCCCAGTTTTCCCTCTTCAACTGCTCACAAACCAGGGCCATGACAGGCTGACACCTGGATGCCAGCCTGTTCCAAGAAGAAAAGTGAGTGACAGCTTGGAGGAAGGTGCTCCGTCCGCCCCCCAACAGTGCAGGCCTTAGCTGGGTCTCACCTGGAGGGTGGGGGTGGGAGATGGAAAGATGTGGTGGCAGTTGTCTGCACGTTTGTTTGAGTGTTACAACTTGGGGGGGGGGTTGCACACTACTGGCATCCAGTGGGTGGAGGCGGGGGATCCTGTCAACACTGCTGTGCACCGGGCGGCCCCACGCAAAGGGTCATCTGGCCCCCACGTGTCGTCAGTGCTACAGCTGAGGAGCTCTGATGTGCGAGCAGGGTTGGGATGAGGAAGCAGGTGAGGACGGGGGGTGGGGAGAGGGGGTGCTGCGGGAATGGAGCTGGAGGCACCACCTTTGTCAAACGACACAAGCTAAGGGCTCACCGCCTCCCTGTCCACCTAGCTCCATGGTCAAGGGCCAAGGACCAAGGAGCCCCAGTTCTGGTCTCAACCACTGTTGAGCAGCAATGCAGCCCTGGAATGTGACGGGGTAGCGGTCTGGGCTGTGCACATCTCAACAGCCAATGGGCCACCCTAGTTGGGAAGCAGGGTCCCAGTGGGCTGCCTGCGAGCCTCTCAAAGGCCTCTCACAGACTTCAACTTATCTGTCTCTTCCTTCATCAGAGGAAGGAAAATAATCTGTCACCTTAAAAATGGGTTTGCAGGAGATGGTGGGCAGCTAGGCATCAGCAGGAGACATTCCATTATTGTTAACTAGAAACATACTTACTGGTTTATCATTTTCTGCTGGCAATTCAAACACACATCTAAGTTTTGAATCCATAAGGTCTTCCGGTTTTGCCTCCTTCCACTAAAACAATTTAAATTGAATAATCAGGATATTATAAAGCTGCTGAAGAATAATTTTCATCCCATAACTGACAATTTCAGAAAAATACTCTTAATGAGAAAGCCCTGATGGATATCAACTAAAGAACTTGTCTGCTGAGATTTTAATATTTTTAACGTGACAAGATTGAATATACTGGCCTTCCTGAGTATTTATTACAGTTCACACATCCCAAAGTCCTGCTGCCTGACTCCCCAGTGTCAATTCATGGCCCTGGAGCCACTCCTCGGTGGGGAGCAGCTGGGACAGGGAGGACTGCTGGAGGATGGGAGGAGCCTCGACTGCCTGGATGGCCAGAGTAATGGGGCTCTCCATCAGAAAACCAACCCTAGTTTCCAGCACACCCTGCTGGGGTTCCACAGCTACTCTTGCCTGCCCCCGGTTCCAGCCACTCCCCTAGTCTGGCAGCAGATGGAGTTGCAGGGGATGCTGGGAGCTGTGGACCAGCATAGCAGTAAGTCACAGTGCAGAGAAAGGAAGACCCCCCAGGCCCAAAACCCTCCCTGCAGGAGGCAGCTAGAGCAGCCCAGGTACCAAGAGCTCCCGATGGGAGCCACTTGAATGCTGAACAACAGGGGACCCGAGGCAGATTCCTTCATGACCAGCATGAGGGACTCAGCACAGGGGGAGTATCCAGAGACTACGTGGGGGAAAAGTTACAGACAGAGCTTCAGCCTGGCCCTCTGCACACAAGCACAACGGTGTGTGGAGATGTCTATGTGACAGATGGCACTGGACGAGGCCTGTCAATGGATACCAAGGCCACCTGGTGAGCGGGACAGCGATGATGTTACCTCAAAGGACCAGGTCACACCAAGTGTCAGCACAAAGGGAAGCGCACTTGGATATGGGGAGAGCTGGCAGCCACGGCTCAAGCCCGTGATTAAACGTAGCATCCCCAGTACAAGAGGGACAACTGGGTACTAAGTGCCTCCAGATGCAATGCTGCAAGAAACACACATCACCACCTGTGGGATGTTCTTGCCAAAAAATGTCCACCCTGAGCTTGCAGAGGAGGAGACAGACACACCCAGAAGGTGGGACGTCCTACAAGTCAACTGGCTTGGCCTCACAATGCTCCAAGTCGAGAGAAGACAGGAAGGGCTGGGGTACCGTTCTAGAGTGAGAACAACTACAGGGCATTTCTAGAACACCCGGGACACTCTGAGTAAGGACGGACCTATTAGGCAACATTACTCAAGTAATGTCCATGTCCTCAACTCTGAGAACAGCAACGTGGGGATGTAAGGGAGTGTCCTTGTTCTGAAGTACGTAGAGGTGAGGTGTCACGGCGTCTACAGCTTATTTTCAAATGGTTCAGCAAAACAGAAACCATATGACAGAACTGAAGCACAGATGGCAATGTGTGAACAAACGTGAGTCTGATAAAGGGGATAAAGTGATCACTCTTCTCTTCTGACTTTCTGTAGGTCTGAGTATCAAAAGAAAAGCAATTCAAGATAAACCAGCACAAAACTCTTACTGTCATGGTATGGCTAGTATTTAGGAGTCCTGGTGGCCCAGTGGTTAAGTGCTCAGCTGCTCCCCAAAAGGTTCGTGGTTTGAACCCACCAGCCACTTCGAGGGAGAAAGATGTGGGCAGTCTGCTTCCGCAAAGAGCACGGCCTTGGAAACCCTGCGGGGCAGCTGTACTCCGTCCTAGAGGGTTGCTCTGGGTTGGAGTCAGCTCAAAGGCAATGGATTTGGTTTGTATGGTTCATGTCTAGTATGAATGAATTATAGGTTATTTATATTTTACTTTTTGCTCACTTTTATGTATTCTCAAAGTTTCCTACAATGTTCATTTTGAACAAAAAACTTAAAAGTGTTAGAAAAATAATCATACAAGAAAGAGACCTAAACATTTACTGAGTGACCACCATATACAGCATCTGGCTTAGGACAGTCCTCAGAGAAACCACCAGCTGTGTGCAGATGTTTTACACACATAGCATGGGGTCCTCACAACCACCATGGGGACTGGTTTTCACCCTCATTTTATAGGTGATGAGAAACCTCAGGAGAGGTCATGAGACCTGCCCAAGGCCACCATGTTATCAGAGGCAGAACCAGGCTGCAAGCTCGTGAGCCCTGAGAGCCCTGTTTTTCTCACAACCTCGCAGCACAAGCCAACTGAAACACACCCCTGGACAGTCTGTATTTGATACTGGCTGTAAGTTTCCTTGACAACACAAAATAATAGGAAGTGCTGCATCAGCTTCCGGGAAATAAAGAGAAAGTCACGAATGCTTCAATGACCCTCTTAGGAGACTGAAGGGGGCCTATTGTCACGGAGCCCCTCAAACCCACAAGTACCCAGCTTAGCCTTCATCTTCTGCCCAAAAGGTAAATGTCAATGAAGATGGCCAGGGAGGCTTCTCCAGGGGCTAAAAGAAGGGGCAATGTGCACCTCTAGGGCATGAGGGCAGTCGGGCATACCCCGTGGAGAGAAATCTGACACTGGGGAGTGACTGGCGTCCCCTGGATGACTGCAGTCTCCTGGCCTGGGCTGGCAAGCTGGGAAGCGATAACATAAATGTGCCCTGACAATCCTGCCTTTCCTCCCCTGCCTGGGAAGTGGGTCCTGGTGGAGCCGGCCCGGAAGGCTTACCTACCAACTGCAACCCGCTCACACGCCCAGAGGCCTGTTGATTTATCCAAGTGTCTAAACACTTCCTTTTCAGAGGCTTTCTATGATAATCTATTTTCTTCCCTAGGCAAATGAGTACCACTTACTTATTTTATGAAATCAAGCTATCTTACTTTTACAAAAAAAGAGACAGATGTGAACATGCATTTAACAAGCAGGGGACACCATAAAGAAAGCTAGGAGAACAGTAAAGGAGGCGAAGGGTGCTCAGAGCTCAACTTTCCCATCTCTCTGGCTTTGGGAGGATGTGAGGACTGGGGGACAAACGTCCCTATACCGAGACCCCGCTGTGCAAGGGGGATGGAGTGGAAAATCCCTCAACCACTCAACATACCACCCATCAGAGCAAAGAACGGCTAAGATGGGATGCTGAACTAAGATGATAAAACTCAGGAAAGAACAGAATTCTGGAAAATGTTAAAATTATTCAAAGCTTTAGAAAATCCCTGCAGGGAGCTGAAGAACAAACCTCCTGGAGCCCCCCCTTAAGCAACCAGGACACGTTTTCCACCACATGCATCCACAAGCACCTCCATTAGTTTCTCTTTGTCTTTAATTACTCAAGAAAATAAGAAGCATTCCGTACTTACTACTGCCTCCATATCGGAAGTGTCAGTTGGCGCAAACATAGACTGAACCATAAACTTGTGCTTACTTTTCTCATTGGGGTCATAATCGAAAGGCTGCAACATCACTGGGAAAGAAAATATTTCATTAGCAGGGTCAGAGCTTGGGCACCAGCAGCCGTCTGTCTCGCAGCACGTGCCTGTGTTGTAAAGCAGCCAAGCCTCCCGACGCCCCTGGGAGCTGAGCAGGCCCACACGACCTGCGTCTTCTCTCGTCTACAGAGCGCACTCCTGAGGCCCAGGTTAACAGCAGGTCCTGGCACAGCCCCCTGACTGCTAGTCCACAGAGCTTTCACTGCCACGACGCTGCCACACACCAGCCACACGGGAGGGGGAGGGTCGCCAGCTGCTGGATTTTTCGGGAGAACATCCCAGCACCTGAGACGGGTAAGGAGCCCCTCCAGCTGCTATTTGCTCTGCATCCCACGGCTGACTGAGGTAGGGCTTGACATGCAGTGTTGCCAGCAGAACGCCAGAGACAGACACAGCAGGGGCAGGGGCAGGGGCAGGGGCAGGGGCAGGGGCAGGGCATGCTGGCTCACCCTGTCTCCCTACGAACCCAGAGAGCGCCCATGTGAGGCTCCTAGGGACGAAGAGTGGCACCCGCGGCCTTCCCACCCACTGGCCTCCTTCAGCTGATTTCACAGGGCAGCTAGGACCTACTCGTGCCCCAGAACCACTGCCCTGAAATGGATTATCTGCTACAAAGCTCTGGGTGAACCACACACCAAGTTGTGGTCCCTGAAACCAAACCGTGCAGCAGGGCACCCTTGTGTGGCCCTGGCTGAGTGCAGGCAGCAGGCGCTGTCCCCTGCTGTCCCCTGACGCCCAAAGCAGTCTCTTACCTGCAGTGTGTTTGTCTCTCACTTAACTCTGAACCACAAGTACTATTAGATTTCATTTTCAGATGAAGAAACTTAAGCACAGAGAGCCTAAGTCTCCTGGGTCGCACCATGGAGGAGCCAAGACTCAAACCCAAACCCAGGTCACACTTACAGCCGTCACGGGGCACTGGGCCCTGGCCCTTCCCCATCAGCACAGCTCCCACCCAGCTTTCCTGGGGGCACTCGTCATTGCTCCCTTGTCTTCACAAAGGCCTTAGGGCTCAGCAGGAGCTCCCTCTCAGTCCTCACCACCCACCATCACCCAGCAACAAACAGCAGGGGCCTGGAGACCACTGACAGGTGACAAATAGAGGGCTCAGCAAGGTGAAGTGACTCCTGGTTAAGGGCACAATGTTAGGACGTAGAACCGATCCCATACACAGAGCTGGATTCGCATCACGTACCCTAGACCCACCAGCACCCACCCTACAGGACCAAGTGTGGAGGCAAGTAGAAGTTCAAGGTCCCCCATCCACCCTGGGGACAGAAAAACCTACCAGAGCATCAGGTCTAACTGCTTTGGTGTGCCTCATCACTCAGACAGCTCTGCCACCCATACCCCCCAAGTGCTAGAGCTGGAGGGGACCTTACCAGGAGACTTGTTCAGGATGAAAAACAAGGTGTGCCAGAGAGCAACCCATTCATGAGGCCAGGAATGGCATACACAAAACATCCACACCAAGCACAGCTACCAATGAGGACTGCTCCGAGAAGGGTGCTGGGTCTGGGAACCAGAATCCCAATGCTGGGACCACCAGCTGAGGGGACAGCACATTACTCGACAGCACCCTGCGGCCACCCTGGGCAGGGCTTCATGAGAAGCATGGCTGGCCCCCGGAGAAGCCCCTTGCTGGAGCTGGCATGCGTATTAACTCCTGCCCTGGCCCCACCAGGTGGCCAGGGTATGGCAGCCAGTCACATGTGAACACGCTTCCACACCTGGGCTTGACACTAGCCCTGGGGACAGCCCACCAACTTGGCAGGGCAAGAACCCACATTCTTCTTGGGCAAGCCAATCTCCTCTTGGTTCCTACACCCAGGACTGCAGTAAGAAACAGGTATAAACCAAGGTGCCTTCCTGGACAGGACTCCCAACCTCTTCTGCAGATGAGACAGTCTTCAAACTGCTGTCAGATTAACACTCATTTTTAAATCTTCAAGTGATGTGGGTTTGAAGACTTTCTGGTTGGCCTGGCTCTAGTGCACCGTGTTCCAGGAATGAGGAGAGCTCTGTCCCTCCACCCGGCTAGGCTCTCAGTGGGCTCATCTCTCGCAGCAAAACCCGCCCCTTCTGGAGACTCTACCAGATGAACTGGGACCATGTGTCAGAAGCCCAGATGCCCTGAAGGTGAGCACTCAGAAAACACTGCTAGCCATCAGAGCAGCCCTTACCAGGCATGCAGGAGGCACTGAGGAGTCCCCCAAACACAGCCCATCCCCAGACAAGCGGCCCAGGGGCTCGGCTGTTCCCTTCCTTACCACCTCCGTAAAGGCGGTGCAGTGAGTCTCTCCTGAGAACTCAGCCTGGGTTCTAGGCAGCCCCAGGGCACAACTGGCCACTGTTTGGTCTCCCCACCTCACCCTGCCTTCTCCCATCCCCAACACTTTCACAAAGCCCCCGAAAGGAAAGAAAGAAAAGTAACCCTTCCTAGTGCCGAGGAGGGAGCTCTGGTGGCGTAGTACCTAAGGCATATGATTGCTAATCAGAAGGCTGGTGGTTCAAACCCACCAGCCACTCCTTGGAAGACAGACTGTGCAATCTGCTTTGGAAGAGATACTACCTCAGAAACCCAAGGAGGAGTCGCTATGAGTCAAAATGACTCGATGGCAGTGATTTTTTTTTTTTTTTTTTTAGTGCCTAGGAAAGGAATCCTGGTGGTGCAGTGGGTACGGCATTTGGCTGCTAACCAGAAGGTCGATGGTTCAAACCCATGAGCTTCTCTTCAGGACAAAGATGAGGCAATCTACATCCATAAAGAATTATAGCTTTAGAAACCCAATGGGGGTCCCTATGAGGTACAACTGACTCCATGGCAGTGGGTTTGGGTTGTCTGTGGTTACTAAGTACAAGCAGGTGAAGTCTCATTGGCTCTCCCATTTATGCCTCACCACAATCCATCCAAGTCCCATATCACCATGTTCTAGAGGAGAGACAACCCAGGGTCGGCCTCACTGGGTTTGAGTTCAGCAGATCAGACACCAGGCCAGGGCTCCAACCTGGTTTTGACTCCAGGGTTCAGACTTCTACACCAGGTTCTCCAAACACCATTTGCAAATCCTGAAAGCTGCCTTTCAGGTAACCACGAAGTCAAAGCCATGGTCACAGTAACACTCGAATGCTGTCTGCCTTCTCACCGGGCTGACATTTGCACTGGTAGTGCAAAGCAACACGTGGTCCCGCTGACGCTCTAGCGTGGGTCAAGGTCCAAGACACAGCACCGGGCCCACTGTGCTCTTTACCACCACACACTCAAAAGGGAGCTCTGGTGGTGTAGTGCCTAAAGTACTCCTTGGAAAGAAGACTGGGCCCTCAATTAAAAAAAAAAAAAAAAAGCCTATTTCATTTAAACACACCTTTGCTGAAGCCATACAAATGATTAGTTTGACTGAACTTCAACTTCGGGAATGTATCTCTGTCACAGCATGAAATGGCAAGGGGAGTCCACCAGCACCTGTTTGGGGAAAACACCAGGGCGGCTGGCTGTGAAGTGAACTAGAGGCTGCTTTCGTGGGACACCATGCTTACCTGAAAGAACTGCCAGACAAACAATGGTTGTTCAGACCTGGGGACATGGCAACTCGTCCCTGAAAATAGACAAAGTGAGCCTGCCACCTCAAGGCAAACAACTGATAGTCTTGTTGTCAGTAGTTAAATCCAGGCTTTCAAGCAAAAGTTAGGATTTGGGGGAACATATATGCCAGTAAAGCGCTTGAAAATTTCCCAAATACTTAGGACTCTTCTGATGAGATCGGTGGGAAGAGTAAGAACCACAATTTTCTGATACTGTTTAACAGAAGATCTATAAAACTTAGGGAACTACTAGTTCCCAAACGTCCCATGCATGACGTTATAAAACATTCAAGTGCAACACAGACCAATGTACTGTCATGAAACAAAGTTCAAAAAGTTGACTGACAAGGTTTCAAATTCCACACTGTACTAACCTTTTCAGAAATTACACCTTGGTAAGTTTTGGTGGAGTATCAAAGAATAGTATCTACAATTATCTCAAAAGACTATGAGGTAACACCTCTCCCCTCTCCAACTACAGTATCTGTCGTGAAACCAGTTCTTCTTCTCATGCCTTCACCAAAACAACCTATCACAACAGAGCAAATGCAAATCAGATCCACAAAAACACAAATATACTCGTTTTCTCATTAATATTATTCCTTTTATAAAAAAAAAAATGTGATTTGGGTAAAAATTCACAGAGCAAATTCATTTTCAATTCAACAATCCATACACATTCTGTTTTGTGACATTTACTGCAACCCCCACACCCTAACCACATTCTTCTACTTCCACCCCCTTCCTTCCCTTCATCCTTCCTTTTCTTCCCATTCCCTCTCACCTTCCTAGCTCTGTCCCTGGGCAAATACTATCCTCTTGATCTCATCTGCTTGATTATTCTAACAAGTGCACACCCTTCTGAAATCACTGTTCACTTTATAGGCCTCTCTATTGTTTGGCTGCCAGTTGAGTCATGGGGGTTCAGTTTCTAACTTAGAGTGTCAAAGGGCCATAGGCTCAGGAGTTCCACCAGTCTTTATCAGACCAGTAAGCCTGGCTTTTTGTAAGTTTGAATTGTGTTCCACATTTTCCCCCCACTCAACTGGGACCTCCTACTGTGATTCTTCTCAAATTGGTCAGCAGTGACAGCCAGGCACCAACCATCCAGCTCTTCTGGTTCTGAGGTCATGGAGGCTGGGACTCATGTGGTCCATTAGTCCTATGCACTAACTGTTTCCTGTGTCTTTGAGTTTCCTCACTCTTCTGTATTCTAGACAAAGAGAGACCAATAATTTTACCTCAGATGGCTGCTCACAAGCTTTTAAGACCCCAGTTGCTACTCACCAAAGTAGGACACTGAATACTGTCTTTGTGGACAATGTAATGCCAAATGAACTTACTGTCCCCTGAGATTCTGGTCCTGAGCCTCCATACCCAGTGACTCATTCCC